TATATATTTCTGTCTAATACACAACACCACTTTATACTTGGCAGCTAATTGCTGTAATCTAACTGGCACTTCCTTTGCTGGTACATCGAATGATTCAGTATACTCAAACCTACGCCTCTTAGTACGTGGCGCAGACTCAGAGCACACGGGGCACACCTCCACACAGACCCTAATATAACTCTCAGGTATGCCATAAAATTTAGCACCTACAGTCCAAACCTGCTTGATTTTTTCTATAGTGTCTTTGAGACCTAAGTGTTTTAAATCAGCGTCACGGTGAAAGTTTGTGACTATATCATGCCATTGGTCAACATGGGAAACGAATTGACTCGAATTATTCTTGAAACACAGTAATTCATTACCATTCACGGGGTCGATACTCACGACGAGCTTGTCCTGTATCCGCTTCCAGGCCGTAAGGTACGCCGTGTCCTCATTCCGGTCCTTCCACACCAGGCGCCAGCTCTGGAGCACCGACGCGGGCGTGACAGATCGGATTTCCTCCGGCGTGGCGACCCGACCCTCAAGGAGGCAGCGTATCATCAGGGCATGGGATTCCTTGTTAAATGTGTAGAATTGAGATGAAATGTGGGGTTCCGGACTTATATACGCCGCCGCCGATGCACCCGCCGTATGCCGGTGGCGTTTCTCCGCCTTATTTTTATCGCCGGACTTCCCCAAACCCAAATTAGGGTTAGGGTTAGGGTTTTCAGAAACGATCCCGTTTTGATGCTCCAATTGAGGTAGCGACGACTGAATTAGCTGATGTTGATCGGGGTCTGAGGAACTATGGCTGGCAGCGTCGTCATCTTCGTCGCGGAAAAAACCGATATCAGAAAAGAACGGTTCTTCATCGTCCTGGTGAAGAATTGACGGCTGAGATTGATCCAAGATTTGGTGATGTTGCGGGTCCAAGTGATGGTGGAATAGATCTTCTGCTTCAACTTTGCTAGGATTCATGGTTGTCGGAAGAAGAAACAGTGGTAAAAGTGTTTGGTCTCTCTCTCTCTCTCTCTCGGAGAAATCGAAGGTTCTCTCTAAGTGGGTCAGTTGGGTTTCTGACACAAACTTTCCTCACATTCTTGATTTCTCCATCACTGTTTGCTTCTGTTCAGAATACGATCAGTGGTGGTTGCGGGGAAAGACAAAACGAACATAGAGAGAGGAAAGTGACTGACTTATGTGGAACTTCAAGTGTTTGACTCATGTCAAACATGCAACTACCTTTGTTGTTTGTGAGTTCGTGAGTTTTGAATTGTTTCCAAGGTTTTGCGCCTCTTTGCCCCTTTTTATATGTGTTGTGTTTCCTTCAATTTCATACTGTTTATCTTCTTGTTTCAATCCGTGGTTTTCCTGTCTCAAATGATGAATTTTGTCAAGGGTGATCTTTGTTCCCCTTGTATATTGCTGAGAAAAAATATGTTTGATGGATCTTTTTTAATTTCTCATTTGACATGGATCATTTTGGGAAAGATTTCTTTACCGTTTTAAAATTATACACGTATAAGAAATAGGTAATCAATTCTTTTGAGCGGCTGAGAGTGTTGCGTTAAAAGAATTTAAAGTATTCAGGATTGAATATAATTTTTTATCTTAAAAATATTATGTATAAAGGATAGATTATCAATTCCCTTAGATTGTAAGTCTTAAATTAAACAAAAAAAAATCAATGAGTGCTTTGAGTGAGAAAGTTTTTTTTTTGCCATTTAAGATATTGTGTATAAAATGATAGATAGTCACTTTCCTTGATGGTCGATAATGTTATGTAAGATGAATATAGGAGTATACAAGGGACGTAGAGGAAGCAGGAGAATGTAAAAAACACTCCATTAATTACCATGCCACGTCATAAGACAAAAAGTCACATGCGAGAGCTTAAAGCTCGGTACATTTTTAATTTTCTATTATTCATGACTTGAAGGTCGACTTAATCTTATTATTAAAGAATTTTTTTTTCTCGTAGAACTCTATAAAAAGAGAACTCCTATAATTGGAAGAAAAGGAAAAAGATATTGCTCACATGTCTAGCTTAGCTTGGCGATATCGATGCAATCCAATCATCTCTGGGCTAAAATTCTTCGAGCTAAGTATCACTTCCCCAGCCGTGATCTACTCCCTAAGCAGAGATCCTCCTTTATTTGAAAAATTCTTGTTAAGGACCATAATTTTTCAAAACCTGCTATAAATGTAATATTGGTCAGGGCACTAATACAGATCTTGGCATGATAATTGGCTTGTAAATAAGACTAATCTCCGAAGCCTTATACAGGACCCTCTTACTCAACTTGAATCTACTTTTACGGTGGATCATATTATTTCTCATGTGGCGTGGGACCTTACTTCGCTATCCTTTGATTTGCCCCTACACATTTCGTGACTCATTCATGATACTTATTTTAATCTTTCTTTCTCACATCCTGATACTTTCTGCTGGAACTTTATTTTTACTGGCCTATTCTCCACTAAATCTGCTCATCATCTTTACCTTCGCTCCTGAATGTCCTGGCCTCCAATGGATATGACACCTACATATCCCCAATAAAATCAAAACCTTTCTTTGGCTACTTCTACTTAATAAATTACCTACTGCTTCTTATCTTGCTTCTCTCAATATAATTCCTGTAGACATGTGATTTTTGATCCTCCCCAAAATTTTTCATATTTTAGCGCAAAATATTTAATTTAGTCCTATTATAACTATTTTAATCAATTTTGACTCTTTTACTTTATTTTATTACAAGAAAACAAAAATCACAAAAATAGGTTCATTAATGTTTTGTAGTCATTTTTAATCTAGAGAAAAAAAAATCTTAAAAAAAAATATATACAACAATAGTATCGTATTTTTATTTTAATATGATATTTGAAAATACCAAAAATAGATTTGTTTTAATGGTTAGTTTTATTTTAATAATTATTTGAATAGTAGGAATAATTAACAAATGGGCCCGTATTTTTAATCTCGTTCGCAGCGAAAGAATAGAACTTGGGCTCGAGCAACCCATTTTTAGGCTTAATTTTGGACCTAGCCCACAATTGCCAAGCCCATAATTCCTAGGCCCATACTCCTTAACCTAAAATCCTACAACCTAGACTCTACACTATAAAAGAATGCCTAAGACTAAAGAATTAAGAAGAGAGGTGGAAGGAACAAAAAAACGTTGAGGGCTGAAATACACACAAATGCTGCGCAAAAACAGACCCCCCATGCGCGTCATCTTCTCCAAACGACCCTACCTCTAAAAATGACCCCTCCTGTACTTCGTCGAACCAGCAACAAGAGAACACAGAAGGCCGAAAAACAAAACGCTGAGGAACAACCATACAGAAATGACCTCGCCCCTGATCATCGTCTTCCCCGACCCACCCCACTGTCGTTCTCTTCTTCTTCCGTAACAGCCAGCGTCCAGCAGCTCTATCGATGACCACCCTTCAGCTCACCATCGTCGCTGAACCTCCTTGCGACCTCCCAGTGACTTACCTCAACCCTAGAAGTCAGTCGCCGAGCTCCACCCAATTCCATCGTAACACAATAACGACACCGACCCTCACGTCGTTCCTTCTTCACACCACTCCAAACCATCCCTATTTTCGTTCATTTTCACTCACAAAACACAGCGTCTTCTCACCATTAAAAGCCCTCTGAAACCACATAAAAACGATCGCAACTTCATCTCCGCTAGGTCACTGCTTTTTACCGGCGTTTCGCCGGAGTTTCACCATCTCCGGCCAGCTCTTTTTTACTATAAGATGTAGCAGGTCGTCAAAGTTTCCGGTGAGGTGGACTCCGGTTGCTGGGTTCGGCGAAGTTGTCGCCTGTAGATCGTTTGGATTTGCAATTTTGGAGCTCCTCTTTGTTGTAAACATTGGGAAACTCCAGCAATAGAAGGTTCATCTTTTGCACTCTTTTACTCTTTCGCGAATGCACTGTTTGGATATGTTAGTTGTGTATATTTGAGCACGAATAAAGTTTTTTTAGCATGTTATTAAGTTCAGTTTAATTCTTTATTTGCGGGCTTCCGTCATGTTTATTGTTTCTTGTGATTTAAAATGCTTAATCATTTTCATTGGTCAATATCGTTATGTGCCTACTTTAATTGGAGTTAATACTCATGTTAGTTTAATTACTATGGAAGTTTCGAGAATAATTCTATTTTTGTTTGATGTTTTAATAAATTGGCTTGGGGAAAATTGAGTAGGTTTGATAAGATGCATTTTTAGAATTAAATGGGCCAGTCGAGTCGTTTCTGTTGAGCTCGATTTAGTGAGCCTAGCCCAATTCTTATATATATAAAAAATTTCTCTTCAATTACTACATGGGTTAAAAATTAATGAAATTCATAACATCTCCTTCACAGTCACTTCTCCATGAATCCTAGCTTCCCGACCCATCCTAAATTCGTTCGAGCATAACAGTCCAAACACGTAGTTGCTTTAGGCGCGTTATGTTAATAATTTACCTTCCTAAACTCCGGTGTGCATTTATGTGACCCAAATTCAAAATCACAATGTTAGTTAAAATATGTCGAATACCGCGGGTGCATTTATGTGACGTGGTTCAAGACGTGTTTTAATAACATTGCAATATTCCTAAAATGACTAAAAGCGATTAAAGTTTTAAAATGCGCATAGTTTTAAAATGTACTAAAATCAGATAATTAAGCCGAATATAACAGTTGAGCGACCGTGCTAGAACCACGGAACTCGGGAATGCCTAACACCTTCTCCCGGGTTAACAGAATTCCTTACTCGGATTTCTGGTTCGCGGACTATAATACAGAGTCAATATTTTCTTCAATTCAGGATTTGAACAGGTGACTTGGGATACCATAAATTATCCCAAGTGGCGACTCTGAATTCTAATAAATAATCTCGTTTCGACTGTCCTTTAATTGGAAAAACTCCCTTATACATACCCCTTTCGGAGGGTGTAGGAAAAAAAGGAGGTCTGACAATCCCTAACTTGAATTGTCACAAATGTCCAAACACACCTGAAAATATACCTCATATCTTTTTCCAATGTCGAATGATTTTTCATATTTGGTCAACTTTTAGCGTACAACCTTCTATCAGCCCCCTCATAGAGTGACTCTAGTTATTGTGCACACACTCTAAGAACTCGTTCATCTATCATGATATTGTAGTTCCTGCTTCATCCCTTATACTTTTTACCTTTTGGCACATTTGGTTAGCTTGCAATAATAATGTTTTTAATCATCTCCATATACTTCCTTCTGTGCACAATATCTGCTTTCATCTCATTGAATTCATCTACCTCTCCCATGTGCCCCCCTCCCCTCCTTCCCACACTCAATATATCAAAAGGTACCCCTTTCCCCCACTATTCCTCCTTTTAAGCTTAATACTGATGGAGCATTCCATGTCTTAACAATCAAGCAGCTGCAACTGGTATTTTTCATAGTACTGATAGTTGTTGGGTTTGTGGTTAAACTTTGCCTCTGCTTTCCTCTTCCGCTATTGAAGTCGAACTTATGGCATTACTGTGATGACCCCAAAAGGTCATCTCGTATTTTAGAACTCAATCCGAGATTCCGAGGCCTTCAAGACCTCATTTTCTTTCTCCTCAATTTGCGTGCGTAGTTCGGGCGCGCTTCTGGAAAGCCCTTATGTGAAAATTTGAGAAAATACCAATTTTGCCTTTAAATTTGAATTTAAATTGACTTAGGTCAATATTTTGGGTAAACGGACCCACAACTATGATTTGATGCTCCCGAAGGGTCCGTAGAAAAATATGGGACTTGGGCGTATGCCCGGAATTGAATTCCGAGGTCCCTAACCCGAGAAATGAATTTTTGAAGAAAATTGTTTAACTGAAAAATATAAGGAGTTTGGAAATTGAGTAATGATGGAATATGATGGTACCAGCATGTATTTTGGCTTCGGAGCTCGGTACAGGTTTAAAATGATGTTTAAGTCGAATCTGTAAAATTTGGTAAGAATAGGACTTGATTTGATATAAATAGGACCCTCGGTTGTGAAAAATAGTAACTTTAGGTGTTCTTGAGAATTTCATTGATTTTGATGCTAAATTCGTAGTTGTTAANTGTATTTATGTCTATTGTTGATTCCCTTGCCGAGATGTATTTATTTCTATTGTTGATTCCCTTGCCAGGATGTTGTTATTTTCCACTATTTGGGTGAGGAAAGAGTGATAAAGCACGAAGGGTGATGCCATGCACATTCATACTTATGCATATGGTGAGGAAAGAGTGATAAAGCATGAAGAGTGATGCCATGCACATTTACATTGATATTGATGCATATGGTTAGGAAGAGAGATAAAGCACGAAGGGTGATGCCGTGCACATTTCTAATATTCATATGGTGAGGAAGATTGATAAAACATGAAGGGTGATGTTGTGCACATTTTCATTGTTGATTGCATGG